AGGAATGCCAAGGAAAGCTCACAACATGAAGACTTCAAAAGCAAAGACTTTGCACAGTAAATCAGCTAACACACCAAGGATCAAAGTAGCCCTGGGTCAGATCTCCAAGCCCTAGCCAGTCAGGAGGGTAAGGGAAATATGTGACTGAAGGTTGTAAAACGTTTGTCCTGGAGGGGTAGACCGCCAGCAGAGTGAAGATTTTTGCCCATGACATTAAGTAGATAATTATGTTTATGAGTATATTTCTAGCACAGAATATAACTAGTAATAACTAAACTGTTTTAAAACTTAATACATGCTAATTTTTCTCATTTCGCTTTTGTCAGAATCCAAATAGACACTTAAATCTCCTTTATATATGGCTAAACAAATTAAAATTCAAAGGTGTGAGGCAACGGGCTATGGTCCTGCAACTTATATATGGTGGAGCTGAGGGAATGGAAACAGTGTAGGGTTTGGAGTCATAAATCCTGGACCAACTGCTTGATGTACAGTCTAATTAAATGACAAAGAACGTGTCATTATATCCTCAGAACCCCAGCCTTTTTATCTATAAAGTAGAAATAACACCACCTACATCTTTATGATTGTTATGAAAACTGAAAACCTATATGGCTCACAGCAGTGAAGTTCAGGTTCTACCAACTGTACCACAACACAGGGCCTGTGCATTTACTTCTGTGTGATTATCTCATATTAGATCTAAGCTCTTAAGAGGACTTAGTATCTCTAGTATAACAGGACAGATACGTTGATTGACAAAATGAATTAATTTTTGAATTTTTAATTAATTTATATTAATTCACTGAGCATTGTCACAGTAAAAAAAATGTGTTTCCCCAGCCATAATATACTGCACAGTGGCTTAATCATACATGTTATCACCAATAATTTTCCATTTCTACTTTCATATATATATTTTCCCCCTATATCTCACCCTCTGCCATTTTCCACCCTCCTCCCAAACTATCTCAGGTGTCTACAGTTGTTTTCCATTTCTTTTTTCACCACATTTTATTGATTCACAAAGTTTCTTAAATAATCTATCTACTTTCAATAGTAAGTTAAGCTGGTATGTACATATCTATGAATACATGTCTAACTTTAGGCAAGAAACTCTGAGTAGAATGAATATACTATAAGGTAGCACCTAGCTGACCCTATATAGCTTACTACAGTCATTAAATAGGGGGTTTTTTTTCTATATTTTTTCATTTCAAGAAAAGCAGTTCTAGCTTTAATTAATCAAAGAAGTGCTAAGGAAATTTGCTTAAAACTTAAAGCCAGGAAACAGATTAGCATTCCGTTCAAATAGTAAATACATGAACCTATTGGCAGTTCAAGACAGGGCAAAAATTCCTTAAAAAACAAAAAACAAAGCCTAGAACAAAATTAGCAATGTTTTAGTCAAAAGCCAGGAAATTCTATTCCACCAGTTCAGTCTCATGTACTTAATCTATATTTTGTTGTGGTTCTATCTTCCCAATTAAATTCTGGGATATAATATTCAACTCCAGACTTGTCCCTGTCCCTATGATTAGGTTAGCCATTTTCTTAGTTTTTTTTTTTTTTTTTGAGAGATTTTCACTG